GGCTGCCGTCGCATCATCCAGGTGGGGCTGCACATTGGTGGTGGTGGAGGGGAGTCCCCATTACCTGTAAAGCGCTTTGAGTGGAGTGTCCAGAAAAAGCACTATATAAGTGTAAGCAATTATTATTATTATTAAATTAACCTATTGGAATCTGAGCCCCCCTGTTCTTGAGTGCCTCCGCATCTGAGTTTGCTCAATGATCTCCCTTGATTAGATTTGCTCAGCGAAATGTTTCGTTTCCTCCCCCTGACCAGACTCGAGATTTTAACGGAGATGAATTCCGCCTGTGTTTTTCCTTCAGTTATATATGGCTTCTTGGTATTTGCCTGTTTTGATCTTTTGTGTGTGCGTGTAACTAAATTGAAAAACGAAAACGTTACAGTGGTGAGTGTTTTCTCACCTACCACGAACGCCGAGGAAGGCCCCAAGAAAGGCAGGGGCTTTGCCTTCCTTTTTAAATGGTGGGTTGAGGAAGGCCGGGGATGGGTCTTCATTTCTGTGTGCCGTGATGGTTCAGATCTCTGACCGTGCCTCTTGTCTTGAAACCTCAGAACAGTAAGTTCCCTGAAGGGACGAAGCCGCTGTTGGTCTTTGCCGGCGAAGCCTTTGACCTCAGTAATGAGCACAGACGTCTGAAGAGTCTTCTAACAGGTACGATGAACCTTCGCGATGAGCGAAGCCCGCTGTAGTGGTTTGCCCGACAGGAAGGACTTCTCCAACGCTGATGTTAGTGGCTCGTGTACTAGTTGGTTGTCGGAAACCTTGTTTTTCTCAATCTGAAATAGCCAGTTGTTGATGATCTGTTACCTTTGAGCCTTTATTAGATTCCAAGCAGCAAGGCCAGGAGCAGAGCTACATTATAAGAGCCACACCCTGTGTCCTCTTTGTCACCCTGTGTACAAGCGTTAGAATGCATTCTCTGTGAAATGGGACACTCCTGCACTCACTTACCTATGTATGACATGTTTTGGATGATTGTTGGATGTGTTTTGTAAATGTCCTACGAATAACCTCTTGTTTCTTTATCTAGTGTTAAGAACGTGTAATGCTTAATATCGGTCTCTTTTGCGCTAATACTTTGTAATCAAGAACTTTTACCCACCTAGGCCACATTCACCAAAACAAGTTTTACCACCAGTGCATTTTCAAATTTGCTAGTTCTATACATTTTTTGTATTGTTTATGAGCACAGACGTCTAATGTTCTGCCACGTTCCCCACATTTAGAAGAGACAATAGCATGTGGGCCCCCTGCCTTTTTTGCTTTTGGAGGTAGGCCGCCTGCACAAGGTGGTGGTCCCAGTCCCAGCTTGAAGACGTTCAGGCAGGACGAGGTAACTTGCTGTAGCAGGGCAGCGTCAGGCTCTTTCCTGGGATGGACAGAAAGATCTGCCCTACAGGGCGATCGTCGGCAAGCAGAGAGGATGCAGTATCAGTTACAGTTCTCAATGTCTGAAGTCGTACTAGTGATCGAAGGTCTCCCTATCGCCTGTCCTTTATAGCAGACAATTCCGTTACCGGTAAAAACATCTACAGGGAAGCCCCGTGGCCCGTGGGAGAGCAGTAGACTTCCTGTCGATATTCTTCATTCATCACTTACTTTCTGCTTCCACAGCTGTGTATAAAGAACGTCTGCCTCAGGGCACTGAAGCCGTTTTCTCTCAGGGCCATTCATTCTGTCCTTCTAGCTTGGCATTGAGGTGTGTCGGTAAAGGACCACCAGTGTGCAGGTGCAGGGAAGACAGAGGTGGGGGGCAGCGGGATGAACTGATCGAGTTTATCACTGGATGGGTGTAGGGCTTGAGAGACGCAGTTATCATTCTTCTGACCGGACGGTGTCTTGCTCAGATTTCTTCCGCGGGCCGACGGTGCCCTGTGTGCGCTTGGCGGGGCTGGAGCACGTCCTTCACTTCACGGCGCTGGATGGGAAGATCTTCCTGAGGAGCTACAAGTAAGGTCCCCGAGCTTGAAGACCTTCCGCAGGGCTCACGCGCCGGGCCCAGTCATCGCGTACGCGCGTCTACTCCGCGGGCACCTTCGGCCTCAGTCATGCGGCCCTTGAGTGTGTTCTCCGCGGTCGGAGGACCGGCCTGAGAACTGACTGCTCTGTGTTAGGATTTCAGCTCGGAAGCGTACTGCTGTTCAGATTACTTGACAGAAAACGTGAATTGAGACACTTCACAGGAAATGTGAATTGATAAGTAAGACTGGATTTTTTTAAACTTAAAACCTTAACTCTCTCAAATGAACGTTTAAGTTATTGCTAATTGTTTTTCCAGCCATGATTACTGATTAAACATTTTTCAGACATGGTCTGGCCTTAAACTGCTGCTTCGGGTGGAAGTCGGTGTAAATTGTTTAGGAATATTTCCAGTGAAATATGAATTCCACTGGGAAAATGTTCTGATGTCCTTTTCTATTTAGGTTATTGTGGGGCTTCATTATTTCCATTTTTTTTTCACCATCACATTTGCTGGCTTGGAATAACAGACTAGCTAAACAAACACGGGGGATTTTTGTTTTTCAGCTGGCTGTATAGTCCTCCACCTTCAGCCATAATAATGATTGGATTTTATCCTTACAATTACTGTTAAAAGAATAGAATTTTCTCTTCAGCGTTCTGTGAGAACCTTGGTATCTCTGTTTGACTGCAGTCTGTCCTTCTGGGATGCAGAAGGCTATTTTGAAATTTCTCCTGAACTCTTTGCTCTTTAGTTGAGGAAATTAGACTCCCGGCCCCAGAGCAATGTTAGCACCTTGTTCTTGTTCGGTGTAGGGTGCTGTTGAAGAAATCAGGGTGCCGGACTCCGAGGATAGAGCTGGAGGAGATAGGTCCCTCCTTTGACTTTGTGTTGCGGAGGACACATCTGGCGTCTGATGACCTCTACAAGACCGCACACAAACAGCCCAAGGCCCTGAAGGTACAAGCACAACAGTCTGTGACTGTGACAGTTCTGCTACTTTGCCAATGCTTTGGTTGGTGTAAATCAAATGGTAGTTGGGGAATACCATGCGTTGTTTAAAATATTGTAAATGTTTGTGGCTTAACACAAGCAGTCAAGAGATGTTGGCATTATACTGTCTACCCAAAGAAGATAGAATAAATTGTTCATAACCATCCATCCACTTTCCAACCACCTCATCCTATTCAGGGTCACGTGAGGCCCAGAGCCCATCCTGGCACACAGCGGGCGCTGGACACCAGTCCCTCGCAGGGCACACACGGGCACAGACAGACACGCACACTCACACCAGCGCCAGTTTATCTAGAAGCCAATTAACCCCCCACCATGTCTTTGGGCTGAGGGAGGAAACCCATGAGAACACGGGGAGAGCATGCAGACTCCACACAGACAGCCACAGGGGACTCGAACCCAGGGCCTCAACACTGCGAGACAGCAATGCTAATCACTGTCCCACCAAGCAGCACCATATCATTTACACAACTTGCTTTAAATATTTGACATTTTAGTTTTATTTCACTTTCTCCTGCTCCTAGGTTTTCTTTCTTGAGTGGTCTACCTTTCTGCCACTGTGTAACTCTTCTATGCTCTTCTGAGTCAGTTTGCATCTGCGGGTTTAGCTATATGGGAGAACTTCAGATGCATGTCAAGGCAGTGGGACAGCAAAGAGGTTCCAGATCTGGTCTAATACAGTTGCCGTTGGCGGTTCTCCCAGACTCGCCTTCCCACGGAGGTGGGATATTAATACTCCGGCTTTTTCCCGTTCCAGGCTAAGAAGAAGAAGAATATCTCCCATGATGCCTTTGGCACCAGGTTTGGCCGGCTGCACATGCAGAAGCAGGACCTGGGCAAGCTGCAGACCCGCAAGATGAAGGGCTTGAGGAAGAGGAGAGGAGGGGACGCGGAGCGGGGGCCCAGCGCTGCCAAAAAAGCCAGGACGCCTTAACTGAGGGTCCTCGGGCGCACAACTTCTCTGTGACTCGCTTGCACGTTTTACCCCTGGCGAACGCGATTGACCCAATCATTGCGGGAAACTGAGATATTGATCCCGCTGATCAGCCCAGTGAGCAGCTGACTGTTTTGGTTCTTTTAGGTATTTATGAATCCAAATAGTGGATGACTGATTTGCTGAGTATCTTTTCTGACTATGGACCTGTCCTACATGAGCCAGATTCATACAGATTTACTTGGGTGTGTAGAAGGGTTTTACATGATGTTTAAGAATCCCAGTTGAGAGACTGTGGATAGATGAAAGTGTACTCGGTGAGAGAGGCTGATGTCATATTCGGGTTATTAAAATACTTCGGAGAAATCGCCTCTCCTTGTATTCGTTTTGATGACAATTTTTGTAACTGGTTTGTAACTGGCCTTTTTCCCTCCAGAAAGCGGTTTTATTATTCTAAGTCTATTGTAATAGTCACCTGAGGAGATCTTGTGCAGTACAACACCAGACATCTTTCCCACATGTTCTGCGTTTTCCACAACTTCTCTTCTCTGGCATCATTGATCAGAAACTGCACTCCTACAGTTAAATATTGCCTGCGCCGGGGTGAAGCTTTTGTCTCGGAGGATCCTTATGCCGTTCCTGTGTTGGAGGGGACGCAGTTACTGTAAGGGCAGCACCGCCTGGGTGGTACCAAGCCGGTTGCCCGACTACCAGACATAATGAGGAACAGAAGTCAGACATTACTTCACCGGCTTGATTAACAGAGGACTTGAGCTAGCACCACTGAGCAAGACCAGGGTGGAATTTAGCCAGGTCGCCAGAGTTAACACCCGGTATCCGCTGCCACCATGTGGGACATTGCTGTGAAACGTCTGTGAGAACAGCGCCATCTTCTGGTCCAGCAGCAGCACTTCACAGCAGGTCTCCCATCCACCCTAGTGCTGTCCAGGTCCAGCCTTGCTTGGCTTAATGACGTCTGCTGGCGTCGGCCTGAGGTGGTGGGGCTGTTCTCATTAAGTGCAGTCTTGAGCAGGCCCCGGGGACTGCAGATACTTTTCATTACCCAGATGGCATTATTAAATTACCCTTCTTAACGATCAGCATGGTAAGGAATGAGGTAAACGCTGATTAATTTCACATATGTTTGGAGTTTTATTATACTTGCAAATGAAAGTAGCATTCTCGAGGAAAATGTCAATATTACAATAACCAAAATCCAAACAAAAATCCACGTGCAGTAGTTTACAGTTGCTAAATATGGGCATATATAATAGGGAACAATTGCACAAACAGTTCTGATATTTTATGGTAATTTCGCGGCTCAACCGGAAGAGGTCTTAGGTCTGTGATCCCGGGTTCGAGTCTGGGACACGTCACTAAGCGGCCGAGCCAAGCTGAGGGTGGGCTGGGTTTAGGCGCTGTGGTGCTTCCTGTGATATGCCATATGGAAAGGAGCAGGTACAGGTTTATTCCACAGCCGAAATGTTGTATCTCTTTTCTTTTCCTTTCAGCCTGGAATAAACCTTTACTTAGTTCCAGTAGGGAGCTGCGTCAGCATGCGTAGGCTGCAGAGGAACGGGTAAAGGTTTATTCCCTGCTGAAAAGAGAAGACAAGAAACACAACGTTTCGGCTGCTGAGCCTTCTTAAACCTTTACTTGTGCCTTGGCAGCCTACGCACGCTGACGCAGCTCCCTACTCGAACCTCTTCCAGTAGGAAAAGACCAGGGGTCTGGGTTTGGGCAGTCAGAGGTGTCGGCCTGCGCTTCCTCCTTCTCCTTGTTGCTGTGAGCCGAGGCGTGGTAAAACACGCAATGGGTGGGCCCGATCAGGTGGGTGTAATCATAATAATTTATTATTCTAATGTAAAGAAAACTAATGTGGCTCTGGCACAGGCATGGTAAAGAGTTTACAAATACTTCTTGTTCCGTAAACGGACTCTGCTTTGTGGTCTTTTTCCTGTCATAAACTGAAGGGCGCAGTAAATTCACGTCACCATTTCAATATGGAAATATTTTTTAAAAGACACACAAACTGGGATACAACCTATCAGCCAGACAGTTCTTAATATTTCTGAATCTTTTCATTCAGAACTTCCCCTTCCGTTCCGCCGTGGGGTGAGCCTGGCAGGGGAAATTCAGCGAGCTTGTTCGGTGCACTGTGGTGACAGAAACTGAACACAAACGTCTACAAAACTATTGCACGCTCATTGTCTTGGTTTAAATGACACTCTTTTTACATACCCACACATTGGTCATGTTTCTGCTTGAGGAGGCTATAATAGAAACTGCTTGAACACCCAGACTCTTTCCGCGCACGGCTTCACCCATGTCAGTCTTCCACCCTGGCCAGGAGAATCCAGTGGCTGATGGGTTTTGCTCCAGTCAGGTCCTTCATCACCAGTGCTACTTGGTGCCTGTAACTGATCTGCATACTGGTTTAGGCTGTGTTTCTCTACTCAGTCCTTGATTTAAAAAAATCCTACTGTGCCTTATTTCTATCAGTAACAGCACACAGAACATAATACACTCTTCACCTTGCTAATTAAGAACTTATACCAGTGGAAACAGCTCTCTCAGACAGCTCTCCCGGTGAAGCAGAGTTTCTACGTCTGCGTTTGTCTGACTGGTTATGTTCCAGCTCGCACACCTGAGTGAGAGGAGTCCTGAAACTCCTGAATTAGCATGGCAATCGCAAGTCTCATTTGCTTTTTAAAGAGCTGAAAGCAAACTTATAAAAAGACCTCACACCTATCCCTTTTCTAACCACTTTATGCAGTACAGGGTTGCAGGGGAGCCAGAGCCTGACTGGACACAGTCCACTGCAGGACACAGACACTCACTCACTCACACCAGGGGCACTTTTCCCAGAAGCCAATTAACCCACCAGCACGTCTTCAGACTCCTGCAGCCCTGAATTGAAAGAAGCAGTCAGGAAATGGGTGGAGGGACAGATGTCTTTGGACTGTGACTGTGCTCAACCCCCACGAACACAGGGAGAACATACAGACACCACACAGACAGCAACTAGGTCAAGAATTGAACCAGGGCCCCAGCACTGCTAACCAGTGTGTCACGGAGCTGCCCAATAGCCATGAGAAATTGACATAAATTAGCCTGTGAAAGAACAAATAACATTGCTGGAACAAACGCCAAAAGACAGAGTGGTTACTTAAGATCAGGACTGAGTCACACGGTCCCATATGAAAAAACCACAGTGTCCTGGGGCCACCCACACCTGCTGGTTCTCACTGCAGCAAAATCCTTAACTGGGTGGGACCTTTGCAAATGTTTTTGTTCTGCTCAGAGGTTGGAGATCTTTAATTACTTAGGAAATGCAGAGGAAAAAAGGCAACTGAACACAAAGAGTTCAAATTAAACCCATTATCGGGTCTTTTAAACTTTTAAATATTTAATTAGGTAGACCAAAATCCAGTGTTTAGGTCTCTAGGACAAGCAATGGGAATCCCTGTATTAGAGGTTTCTTAATATTTCTTTACCGAGATTATCCTTTGACGCACAGTAATTACAAGTAGTTGTATGTAAACTAACACTAGGTGTCGCTACAGATCAATTTACTGTTCGTCGTAAAAGGTGCCTTTCAGTGCCATTGGTGGTAGCGTTCCTGTGTTGCTCCGTATTAATATAAAACATTAATATAATAACTAGCGATGTTTTACTGCTCGTTAATATGAAGCGTTCACTCACAGAAATTGAAGTATTAACGGCATTTAGTGTAGTCTCCAATTTTACCGGCGGCCGTGTTTCATGACGCAAAACTCATACGTATTCAAATACGCTTTGATTAAATATAATACTTTCAATATAACCCGTATAATGTTTAAATATGAGTTTATTCGGATCTATACAGCTTGAGAGCTGTAGTAGGACTAAACGCTTTTTTGGTTTGCGGAATGAATGTGTTTGCGGTATGCGTAGCAAACACCTCCCCACGTTTTCAGAAACTGGCGGTCAGTAATGAAAAGTCACGCTCAAACCAGCTTACACGGGTCATGCTTGTTGTTCTGGTGATGGTTGTTTGGATGATTAATTTAGCTGGTTGCTGCTTTTGCCCAAAGCACCTTAGAATTGTGCCAGACTCTCCGGCTGGGCATTTGACTTGAATGAATCACATTTCTCGAAGTAACAGTTTGTCCATACTGCAGTAAGCCACGACAGCTCCAAAAGCTTGTTATAGCCCTAGAACAGGACAGAAAGGGTCAGAGTCACACGAAACACCACCTTTAAACTGGGGCAAAACATCCATTACTGGTGAGGGCCACACAAGCTAACTAACCAGTGCTTTTTGCAGAAAACCCCCTGCCCCTCAACCCACCAGCCTTATAAATGACACATATTATTCAGTATGGTGAATTTATACAGGGTGTATCAATTAAATAGAGTAGAAAATGCAGCAGGAAATATATATATATATATTTTTAATTTTCCAAAGAATAACTTCGGTAATTTGTTGCTCAGAGTAAAAAAATGATCAAGATTTTTATGATGTCTTTTTACATTTATTTTGGAGTGCATCCCTGAATTTTCTGTTATATTGTCGTTGCCAGTTGTTTTCACGTTCAGGAGAATCGTGGCTGAACTTGTTCACTTGATTCAAGACCGTACAGGAAGATAAAAAAAAAAGTTGGGACTACCTCACAATATGAGCAGAGAAATTAAGATAAACAGGACAATAATAAATTGCAGTAAAGGAAACAAGGTAATGGAAACCAGTCCTTTCAGCAGTTTACAGTAATAACATTAAGCAAATCATATTAATGTTTCAGGGGGCAGAGTGCTGGCTCTGTGGCTCAGGATCTGCGCCTGTGGCTGGCTGGTTCAAATCCCACGGCCGGCAGAGGAATCCTACTGCGTTGGGCCCCTGAGCAAGGCCCTTAACTCCAGCTGCTCCAGGGGTGCTGTATAAATGGCTGACCCTGCGCTCTGACCCCCAGCTTCTCTCTCCCTGTCTGGGTGTCTCCTGGAGAGTGAGCTGGGGAATCCGAAAAGACAAATTCCTAATGCGAGAAATTGTATAGGGCCAATAAAGTGATGATATGATAATTCACCATATTACTGGAGTAGCCATATTTCATGTCGTGCTAATACATTTCAATACATAAAACATTTTGATTGCTGTTTATCATGCATATCATGGTGATATAATTGCCCCTGATTTATCATACTTTTACCACGATTTCACTAATTGATTACTCCACGGCACCACCGTGCTTTGACACCACATGTTCCAAAGTACAAAACCCGAGTTTTCCTCAGTTAAGAGTTGTTCAACCAAAGAGCAGGGTGCCGGACAGAGTCAGTTTTATTCCGGGGCGAGTTACGATGTAGACAAAGTGGAGTCACAAAGGGAAACAACAGATCTGATGACACTCGGGGGCGGTAAAATAAATCAATAACATTCCAAAAAGGCTGGCGCACAGCAATATTGGGAGTGAAACGCAAGTGTCACACAAAATGAACACGACGACAAAACGTGAAGTAGGAGCAGCACTTTAAAAGCGCACAGAGAGAGAGAGTGGATATGAGGCAGCAGGGAAGACAAGCTCTTGGAGCAGTGTGGGCTCCATGCTTGCAGAGAATAGGTGCAGCAGACTAACTGCATGACTGCAGCCAGAGGAAAAGAGACCGGGAAGAGAAAAGGAGGAAAAGGAGGTGGGGACTATGAGGCACTAAACTGAAGATGGTGGCGGGGCACCAAGGAAGAGCCAGCAGTAGTAAAAAAAAAAACAGAACGAAAGATTGGAAGATTTTCAGTCTGAACAGAGGAACATAAGAAGGAGGTGCAGTGGCTCTGTGGCTCAGGATCTGCGCCTGTGGCTGGAAGGTTTCTGGTTTGTATCCCACAGCCGGCAGAGGAATCCTAGTCCTTTGGGCCCCTGAGCAAGGCCCTTCACCCCAGCTGCTCCAGGGGCGCTGTACAATAGCTGACCCTGTGCTCTGACCCCCAGCTTCTCTCCCTGTCTGTGTGTCTCATGGAGAGCAGGCTGGGGTATGGGGACTTCATCAATTCTTTGACTTGTATCAGGTCTCCTCATCCTCTTCTCTGCTGAAGACTAGAAATGTTCAGTTCCTACAGCCTGACAGTGTAGGACACTCCTTCCAGCCCAGGAATGTATCTGGTTTATAGTCTTCTCTAAGTGGATTCTAGAGCTGCAGTATCCTTTCGAGAACGTGGTGACCGAATTTATCCACAGTTTTCTGAATGAGACCTTAGTCCATAATACAGTTTTAACCTAACATCCCTTGAGTTAAATTCTGCAGTTCTAACTAAATAATACTGATGTATTTTTAATTGCTACCCCACATTTTCTAGATGTACGGTAAACGATAAGTCAGCATAAACAGCCAACTCTTTTTCATCAGTTGCCCCTCCTGTCGTAGTGTTTCCCATTTTGTATTTATAGTTCATGTTTCTGCTACCTGCACGCAGAACCCTGCTCTTGTCTACTGTAAACGTCTTCCTCCAGGTGTCTGAACAGTCTTGAATCTTATCTAAATCTTTTTTTTGTAATTTCCTTTGTTGCTTCCACAACAAAGTGCTTGCCTGTGTGCACCGTCGAATTTCCTATCATCTGCAAACTTGCCTAGTTTACTAACTGAACTTGAAGCTAGATCACTGGTATAAAATGGAAGACCAGTGGTCCCAGTACAGAGCTCTGTGGTACTCCACACTCGAAACAAACAAGAAAAGCTTTCCAGCTGTGGGCAGGGATGAGAGGACCTAGGACAGTGTCTGAAGAAGAGCAGGAGCTGTACTAGGAGACCTGCTTCATGTGTTTAGCAAGGCAGGAGGAAAGCAGAACTCAGACTTGTCAAAATATCCCAGGTTAGTGAATGTTGGCAGGAGACTAGAGAGTTTCACAGGGTCAAAAGCGGCAGGGAGATCAAAAATGAATTAAGACTGAGCAGGGGGAGACCAGACGAGTTTTGCAAAGAGAGTCAGTAATGGAGAAGACGACAGCTTCAGTCGAGCAGGCTGGACAAAAGCCAGACTGCAGAGGATCAAGCAGCAAACTCGACAAGAGGAAAGCAGAGTGCTGACCGCGCGGCGTGTGCTCGAGGGCTTCAGACAGAAAGAGAAGGAGACGAGACAGTGGTTCTGAAGGAGTGTGGGCTCAATTGGAGGTGTGATGCATGCCTGTTTAAAATCAGGAAGGAAGGCAGCTTGAGGACACAGAGGTGTTAGTGGTGGGAGAGGAGAGAAAGGGATCGAACAGGCTGAGCACGGGGGTGGCTGGGTGAAGCCAGAGATGAAGTGGGGGGGTGTAATTCGGATAGAAGAGCGTCCTCAAGAGTTGCTTTTCTCGAGCGGTCTGATGGCCAGCAGGTCAGAAGCGCGGCGGCGGCAGACACGGGGACCCGTCAGGTCGGGGCCAGGCCGAGCTGACGTCCCTCAGCACAGGCAGCAGACCGAGATCAGACAGGTGGAGGGGTGCTGTGTCCCTGCTGCCCGTACGAGTTACCCGCCCTGGCAGCTGCAGGTTTTAACAGTTGGCGCCTGTTGACCCACCCCCCCGGAGTAAAAAAAAAGAAACACTGCTAGAGAGAGGCAGAAAAGGTGCAGCGATTTGGAATCTAGTTCTTGTACAGGAGCAGAAGAAGAATAGAACTGTAGCTGCAGCGTTAAGTGGAGCACCGGATAAAACCAGAGCGCTATGCTGAGCTGTTCTGCTTTTTCTTTCTCATAAGGCTCTGCAATATTACTCTGCATTACTCTGCAGTGTAACAGACAGCATCGCGGATCCAATCGGAGAACACAAAACCTACCCCACACACACACAAAAAAGGCGTGAGCTGTCCCTGCAATTGCCCCCGCCCCCGTCGCTGAAGTATCTATTTATACAATATTGCAACACTCGCTTCTGCTACTGCACAAGGCGAGCGGACCCGGGGTGGCGAGAGCTGCGAGCGCCCGTGGAATTCGGAGGAGCAGAGAGGCTCGAGAGCAAAAACCCTGCGTGGGTTTGTCCTTCGGCGTCAGGAAATGGTGAAGGCGGAGTAGGCAAAACCTTTACAGAGCGCCGTCTTCGCGGGCATCCAACCCTCTCCGAGAGCTTGTACCGGAGAGCGGCGCAGCAGCAGGACAGGCAGGGTCCGCTCTGCAAGGCAGACGCGGCGTGCAGCGAGAGTGCTCCCCCTCCAGGACTCACCCCCCAACAGGGCTCGGGTGCATATGGTGTGTGGCCGCGGAGGTGCTCCGAGACCAGCGCCAAGATGACAGAGGGCACCGACCCCGAGCGCGCTGCCGCCGCAGGCACCAGCACCGCGCTGCCCGCGGAGGGGCCGGCGAGGAAAGCGGAAGACCAGCCTCTCGACGAGGACGGGAGTCGGGAGAACGGGGGGAGCCGGGGGACCCCGCCGGGCAGCGCCGGCGGGGCGGACGGGGCCGCCGAGCCGGAGTTCGTGCACCCCGAGGGCGGATGGGGCTGGGTCGTGATGCTGGCGGCCATGTGGTGTAACGGGTCGGTTTTCGGCATCCAGAACTCCTTCGGCATCCTGTTCGTCTCGCTGCTGGAGGAGTTCGGCACCGGGGCCGACTCCGGAGCCTGCACGCCGCCATGCGTCTCCCAGGACGAGGACCTCAAGTTTAAGACATGTGAGTGTCCCGGCGGCCGGGGGGACTGGCGGGGGGGAGAGGTGGAGAGGGGGGCATGCAGCTCTCCAGGTGTTTCGCACAGCAGCCGCTCAAAATGTCTGCATCTCGGCGCCCCCGGAGGTGAGCGGTTTCCCTCTCGGGAGAGCTCTGCCACCCCCGTTACAGTGGCGCTGCGCGAAGCTCCCACGCGTGTTACCGCCAGCGTGTGAGAAACTCGGGATGCGTGCTCCACGACAAGCAAGCACCCAGACAAAAGCACACGACGAAGCCCTCGACTGTGCAGTTACGTGGTTTAGTTCCTGTAGAGTAGGGGGCAGCGAATCCGTGTCCTGATGCTGTGGCGTGAAGCCGGGATCTGCTGGTGGAGGTACAGCCCCTTCATCCGGCCACCGACTGGGGAGAAAGGCATGTCTTTTAAATCCATGAGATAGACAGAACCTGTTTTGTAACGCGATGGTAATGTTAGCTTTAGAGGTACCGTGCCTTCGCATTTGAAGCCCGAGCAGGATGTGTAGGTTGTGTTTTTCCGTTGCTGTATTTAACGGGACAGTGTGCGGGTTGTCTGGACTGATCTGCGCTGAACCCATCACTGTGCGCCGGACAGTATGTGCAACACACGTTTTAAATGAAAAAAACGTGGGGAAATAAACATTACAATGACATGACCTCGAATGCAGATCGCCTCAATCTATTTTTATCTCTTTCCGTCGAGTCCGATTTTTTATTCTGAAGCTTTAAGAAGTTGAATATTCGTAGGATATTAGGATCAGATATTGGTAAATCTGTTAGTATCACAGCGTATATACTGGAACGTGGCTCTAACTGGTATAAGCTAAGAAACTAATACGATTAAAGCAGTCCTTGTTGTTTTTGAACTTTATTTGACATTTGCTTTTAAGCGCGATGCAGGCACAAAGTGATGTCATTTAAAATCTTCGTCATTTAAAACGGTGCCAACGCACCTCAACGCAGGTTTTTACTGGCAAACGTACAGAAATTTAATTACTAGGCTTGTGCACAGTATATTACATCATTGGAGATCAAAAGGCAGTTAATCCAAAGCAATACTAATCCATGTAGTATGAGTAATACTTCTTAAATAAATTCTGATTGATATAATCTAAGATAAGCCTCGACTAATAAACACTTAGGGCCCTTTCCATGATGAAGTGCAGTCATCACCGACAGTGGCAGTGCTGGACCACAGGCCTGGGCCGAACTAGAAAAAACACTCCAGTTCATTCGGATCCTGCCCCCTCGCTCAGCCCACCCTGCTTATCCGAGAAGCTGTGATGCGGTTTAGCCCGTTCCGTGCTTAGTCTCACCTGGCGGTTTGCTTACTGAGCTCTCTTGGGGTAGACCTTGGCCTAGCTCTCGAATTGGGCTTGTCTCCCGCATCCACCTCTTCCAGACACTGGCCGAGAACCACGTGCTGACAGCTGGGCTGCGGCCCGTCGGCGGACATTGACTTGCTGTCTGACTTTTCCTTCTTTTCCAACATTCCGCCTTCAGACGTGGCGCCTTGGTGAACGTACCCGCGGCCCCTCTTTCTCCTCGTGTGCTGGGGCCTCTCAGGTTGGCCGCGCTTGCTTGCGGTTTTGGCAGGACGGCGCTCTTGGCTGTCACGGGTGTGTGTGGCTCTGGGATCCAGCTCCGGCTCCGGCTCAGCTTTCTCCTTTTTAACGGAGACTCTCCCCAGCTCGACGTGGTCCCAGCGACGTCTTGCTCCGCTTGACCTGGGCTCCCTTGCAAACGTCGCGCTGAGTATTCCAGAGCGGCTCGGCCTCTGTCGGGGGTTCCTCGTGCCCCCTCTTGTCTCAGGCCCGCTGTGGCGTCACTGTGTCGCTGGTGGTGATTGCCAGCCGACACCTGAGATTCCTCCTGCTGCACCCAGTACAAGGGCCGAGAAAGAGAAGCCAGTCTAGGACATCTGTTAAGACTCTCCATGGGGTCTTTAGAGTTTAGAGACAACATCCCTAGTCTGAGCGCCCTTGACCTCCAGCCAGCCTGAGACCTTCATGGCCTGAGCCTTGAGAAGTTCCTGGACCTCACCTGGAGATGTTGGGCCATTTTTGGTGTGTGGCCCTCTCGCCGAGCTCTCTTGGCTTGTTGAGTTCACCCACGGCTGAAGCCCCCGTCCGGTTGTGATGTCCGGCCCTCGGTCTGCGGCTGTGGCCCCTCGTCTTGCAGAGTGTGCAGCGTCGTCCTTGTGCACTTGGTTCCATCTAGAGGGCGCAGCACGAGGTCTGCCTCGGCTTGCTCACAGTGCTCGGGGCTCCGGGCGCCCTGCTGGGAAGCTGCCTTCCACGTCTGCTTAGCAGCTGTTTCTGCTTGCCGTCGCAAGAGTGTACTGTAGGTGCACTCAGCTCTCGTGGGCTCCCGTTCGGCTTGTTCCTGGGATCTTCCTGCGGTCTCGAGAGCCCCACGAGACTTCCAGATATGGCAGCTCCACACTTTGTACAGCGGCCTTCCTGTTGGCCGTGACCCTTGCCTGCAGGGTGGGGAAGCTTCAGGCACTCTTGGTCTGGGACTCCTCCCTCTGCATCGCACCCGAGCTGGTCTCTGGCCTTGCCGTGGGCTAATCCAGCCTTCCTGCCCAGGGAGCTCTGTGTTCTCCACACAGCACTCGTTTGACCGGCGGACTGCCCCTAGGTCATGTTTCATGGTAACTCCACCCTCTCCAAGTGCACATTGTCCAATTGGCCCACTGGCTCCTGGGCTTTCACCACCACCCTGCGTGACCTTGACATCAGACTCCTGTTTGCGACAGCTTGGGTAAACATCTCCACCCTGGTCATGGCTCTGCTCTACATGTGAAAGGGAGCACCAGGGGGTCTTCACCTGAACCCTGGGTCCCACAAGAGACAGGCAGAAGCTCCTCATCTGGACCAGCCCCTGCTGGCCTTGAGTTCGGGGTAGAAATTGACAGAGATTGGACTGGACTGATGTAGAAGCTTCACACTGGACTGTTCTGATTTTCTTGTTCAGCGGAGGAAAGTGATGTGTGGCGCTTTCCCCCTGAGAGGAGACAACATCCAAGAGGAGCGTTTCTTGGATGTGTATCCTGTCCTGGTGGTAATGGTTATATCATATTAGTGTTCTCTACAGTGGAAAACTGGGCTGCTGCTGCTCTCTTACCTAGTAACTCGGGAGATTTCTGTTTTGTCAGCCTCTTGTTTGGTAACCATGTAGGTTTTAGAACAAACAGAGAAGAACTGCTTTCAGCTGTTGCAGAGGAAGGGATGATTTTAGATCTCGGGCTGCTCTGTCCCTCAAGACTCAAAGTCATGGTTCCAGAGTCCTGGACGTTTCGTGCTGTTTGACTGACAGTGATGGACAATGTTGAGTGAAAGGCTCCTCCTTGATTTAAAGACCAGCCCTTGCTTTTAGGTGGTTTTGTGAGGTGGATGTAGAATAAAATGCCATCTTTAGTCCAAGCTGTAACAATATAAATTTCAGACACAACTGCTGTTGTCAACAAGTTTGTGAAAATGCAGAGCTTTTTGTTTTCTATGATATCTCCCTCTGGGGGTGCCATTTTCTGGATTGAATTATACGATTAGGGTGGTGCAGTGGTGCAGTGGTCAGTGTCCAGTGTCCAGTGTCGATGGGCCCTGGGTTCAATTCCAGGGGTCCCATCGAGCCTGTAACTTGCAGGGAGAAGCCCTTTGCAGGTGATTTAGAGCAGGATAATGAAGTCCAGGGAGGTGTTTTGAAATCTGGAGTGGAGGTTAAATGAAACTAGTGCAAGTTAATTTGCTGCAAAATGTCTCTTTGGTGTAATTGCAATGCTAGAAAGACATGTGTGAGACTGATCATTTCTCTGTTTACTGGGTAAATAACATCAGTCTTGTCAAAGACCTAAAGTATCGTTTTGATTTGGAATATTTGTTTTTAGAATTCACTTAAAATACAAACAGAGCTGTAATTGTTGTTTTCTGTAAATTATAGGAGTGGTATGTGCAGTGTATGATGTAGGTATTCCTATAATGATTGTTGTAGTAGAGTGAGTGTACTGCTACTTCAGACTGAAGCACCTTTAAAAGAATTGATGAGCTTTAAGTAGATATATTTTGAAAGTATGGTAAGATCTCTAGGTTACTTTCTGTTCACAGTTTGGTGAGGTATTAATGCTTCTGTTGGAAAGGGTTGCTTGAAGGTATAATTGGATTGCATTTTATGTATATCTTTCTTTCATGTTTTCCCCCCAGCTGTCCTTATTTTTCTTGACATCATTGATATTTTGAGGTCCGTCTGTCGTGTTTTTAGCCTCCTGCTGCCAGGTGTCCCTTTCTTCACAGCGGAGTGGGTGTTTTTGATAGGAATAAGGTTACTGTAGGGCCACGACTCTCACACAGCTCTTAACCAATGAGACAGGCGTTCTGTCAGCTCTTATCTGTGAGTGAAAGGCGTAGCTTGGAAATATGGGAGTGGGAGTGCTTTAGTGCTGCTTGAGCAATGTGATGCCAGTGTGCATAAGCATGTGTGTGAGATGGGACTCGCGCTGGTCGGGCTCAGAGCGCACAGAGGTGGATGTGAAAGGAGCGTGCTGGTGTCATTAATGTGAAACATGTTGGCGTGCTTCAGAGGGCTTCCTCAGGTTATGCAGCAGTCATGCGGTGCAGGAACCCCAGGCCGTCTCTTGGAAGAAGCACCACGTGAGACAGCTCTGTTCATACACATACTCAAAAACACCTCTGCGGTGAACAGACTTCGTCTCGAACACACCATTAGAGTACAGGTGCATTCCCTGGGATATTTGCAACACAAAACGCATCCAGTTTTTCTTTTGGGCAATGTTGGATTTCATCCATTCTGTATTATAATATTATTTTTGGACTGATGTCATTGAAAAGCCCTGTTTTTTAGTCGGTTTCAGTTACAGAGTTGCACATATGCACCGCACCAGAAGTGAATTAATTTGCAAGATAGGGACCAGCTGATCGCAGGCTCTGATCCTATTTTTCTGCGAACGCTCGGCTTCTTGCAGAGAGCTCGAC